TTTAATAACCAAAAGGGAAGTGGAGTTTCTTTTTATAATTTCGATTTGGTGCACATGGTTTTCTATCTAGATTTCAGGTTAATAGCATGTGTTTAGCTGTTACTCCACGTGATTGATTTGTGTAATTGTGTACATTGATTAATAAGTATCAACTTGTACTAGTATTTTATGTAATAATTAAGGAGTAATGCACAAAAGGTAAAGAGTATTAATGCAACGTTTATAATATCAGCCTTCTAGTCAAGTAATATATGTTTAGACGATTTAGTTGATCATTTTATAACCAAATTATTCATTGATCAACGTGCTCGTACATGTTTTACATCTGTACTTGAATTAGAGTGTCGAACATTCCATAATGTACTGAAAATAATTGATTCCCAATTTTATTTGTATTATTTGATTTTATTCTTTAAATATCGGAAATATAACAAAACCAATGTTAAATCTTAAAATACAAACCAGACAGCTGAACTATATTAGCCGGATTCATTTTTCATTTATTTTTTTATATCTTCAACCAAATTATAGATGTAAATATGTATGTGTTTATGAGGAGGTGATAGAATTAACAAAAGGTTTTGGGTTTTGTTTTGTTTGTTTGATGAAAGTGGAATATGATATAGGGAAGGGACAATCTATTTATTTGTATTTTTGTCATAAATAAGTAAAAATATTACAAAGAAATTTAGATGTTGACGAGACATCTTTTCGTCCCCTTTGTGTTTCCTTTGTTAATTACCATTTTGTATTTCAAATCAAATTTAGAAAGCATTCGATTATGGGACTAGGAAGTGCCTATAATTTTTGAGTGTCTTCAAACACTAACACGTTGTTTCACTTTTAACCAATGAAATATATTCATTGGCCCACGTGAAAAAAAAATATAAACATCCAAATAAAATGCTTATTTCATTTTTATATAAGAAAAAATGGTTATTCCAGTAACAAAGTCAATAAGAAAAGACCAACCTATTCACATGGAATTTACACCCAAAACTTAAATCATTATTAAAAAAGAATTAGATCATGACCCGCACGTACGTGCGGAGTTTCATATTTTAAAATTTTTTAACAAATTTTAATTATAAATAAATTATTTTGTTTTTTTATGATATATATTTTAGTGTATTAGATCTGGATCCACGTACGTATAGAGATATTTTTATAAAATTGTTATATAGATTTTGAAAATATAAAATATTTTGTTGTGTTAGTGAACTTCGTAATAGTATAAATATTATAAAGTTAGAGTAATGAACAAAATTCAGTTGCGTTAATGCATAATTATATTTTAAGATCCGGACTAATTTAGTTGCAAAAGTTAAATGGTGTTATATTTTTATTTTTTAAACTAATCAAAACAGTTCTAACAGTTTGATTACATATGTTAAATAGGATATGAATTCGGTTTTAGTTTGGGTTATTTCATGTATATTAGCTAGGCGTAACTATTTTGGAACACGAAACATATCCCGTCCAGTATCTTTCATAATTTCTTTGTCCCATAACCTGTCACGTATATGTAAAAAAAAATATTACGGTCTCATATCTGTCATAAATAGAGTATGTGTAACTGAAAAAGTATGTACAGGGTTATGTGTGTAAACAAATTTATTTTATATAGTGTTCATAACCCGAACTCATACCAATTGGGTATTTAATTTGATTTTTAATATATATTCCCCTCCCATCTTGTCTCGTAATTTCTATTTCCATTTTATTCTATTAAAATCATGTTCCAAATTCTTGTTTGCTTACCTTTAAATACCATACAATATATACTGTGAGTTTTTCGGATTAATATGTATGTTGTTAAAGTTACAAATATATTTTAACAAATTTATTATTGTTTCTAGCTAAATTTTGCATATTTTTCTTTTCATTGTTTAATCATAATTAATTAGATTTTTCGGACTAAAATTAAAATTTGAGATACATCTATTAAAAGGATATGATATTGCTGCATAATTTGTTTTGAATGCAAAATATATAATTAGTTCACATTATTTCGAAAATTGTGTGCAATATATTATGGATTTGTTTAAGGAAGATCCGTTTGAGAAAGAAAAAAAAAAAAAAAACACAAAATATTTCGAAATTAATATGTACAATCTATTGTTTAGATATTTCTGAAACTTGCTCTAAACGAATGTCATAATGATAATTACTTTAAATTTATCATTATTTGAGTTTATTTCATAGTAAATATAAATATTTGTTAATATCTAATATCGTTTTTTTTTAGAAATTGTGAAATAAAATTTTGTTTTATATTTCCAAAGTTTTGAAAATATTATAACAAAACTAAGTCTTAAATATTTGTATTTATTTGTTTTACGAAATTTCAAATTCAATCTTAAAATCCTCCATTAATAAAACTTTTTAAACGATAGTGTTTTTAATTTTGAATTAAAATGATATTATTTTTTTTGATATAGAATAGTTTATTAAGATTGATTTAGATAAAATTTTAGTTGGATATCAAATCTTAGTTTTTCAATTCTCATTGGTTAAAAACTTTTTAGAAATTTTTTTTAAATTTCGACCATAATTAATAAGAGAGAGAAATTGAGTTTAATTTTTTGGAAACTAAAAATTACTTTAAAGAATTTCATTATTTTTTATTTAAATATATTATTTTGTGATTTACAATTGTATCTTTAATGAATTTATTTAAAAACAAAAACCAATGACATCTTTGTAATACTTTACACTTTATAAGGTTATTTATGTTTGAGTGCTTCCCAATTAATAGTATAGATTATATTAGTAAATTTAAAACACTAATATAAACTCACACATAATTATGTAAATTTCGGATGACAAAAAAAAATTTATGTAAATTAGTGTGTAAACAAATTCTAGTTTTAATAAATGACTTTTAAACTAACAATTACCATAATTCCTAGTGAAAAAATCTCATGTCTGGACTATTTGGATATTTATTTAAATTAGTATTGAGTATTCAAATACCGATTTTTTCACGAGCGGAGCTAGGCGCCATCATACATACTATTGTGAGTAAGCATGTCTTTGGCAAAAGTTATGCACAAATCCATTATAAATTAATCTAAGAGTCCTAAAAAAACCAAAGAAAATTACATATGATACCAAAAAAAAAATTTACATAATTTATAGTAGGAATCAAACTCAAACACACTAAAATGAGAGGATTGCAATCTTCTTTCCCTAGAACTTGAGCTAGTTAACTACCACTTCACCACCTTGCTTTGGTTTATATTTCAAATTTCTAGTATCCATAAAGACCGGTAATTATCTGTTGCAATTAAATAACACACAAACCCCATATAGTTTAATTACATGTAAGCGTTGTCTAGCTATATATAAAATCATTTTCTTTTCTATTAAGTACTTGGGATAAACTCAAGAAGTATCGTATGAAGAAAAGACTCAATTTTCACGTCAAATCATCCACTTTTTTTTTTCCTGAAAATATCTACTTTCCATGTGATGTAGTTTTCTTGTTCCTTTCACTTTATTCTCTATGTTTTCCTAAAAAAAAATACAAAGAGAAGGAAAAAAAGAATATAGAGCTTTTGTGGGGAAATAAGGTATCCTGATACTAAAACACAAGTCAGTGAAGAGTGTGACTACTGATCCCACAATCTGACCTCTTTGCTCTTGTCTCCCATGCTCGTCACTTATTTGTCCTCTTTTCACGTTTATCAATTCGTTTTATTCAGCTTAATATATGTGTCCTCATATAAATTAATGTCATACTCCAAACAAAATAACCTCAGCATGATGAATAATATATAGTATTTAAGTTCTAATTTTTAAAAAAACGATAACGTCATCCTTAAATTGAGAATGTGAAATATTAAAATCGGTTTTGTGGAAGATTAGGGTCAATTTTGCAAATGAAACTATTATAGGGGTAAAAATATTAGTGATCCTGACTGTTGATTGTCGGTCTATGAGATTTTGAAAGAGGCAAAGAGCGTAACTTTAGATATCATTGTGGTAGAAGAGCACTACTCAAGTCTACTCTTAACCCGTGACAACAAACAATTCGAAGGACTTATGTTCGACCATCATCTAACAACAACACGCTCGGCCACTTCCTAACTCTCTATTTCTTTTTTTTTGGTTTAATGTTAAAAACTCTCTATTTCTTTTGGCTTCATTCAATTCTCTACTTCTCCCTCCCTTACCTAGATAATTTGGTATTTTCTATTATGCTTCTCTCGTGTAGTCTAACAAAGTCGGCCATATAAGGCCAAGCATGCAGAGTATATGCTTTTGGCTGATAATAATCACTTAATTTTTGGCGAATTTTAAGGAAACGTTCTTTTGATCTAGTAGTTAAAATTTTCAGTAGTTATGGCAACTGTACATGAATTCGAACAAAATTATTAAATAAATAAAAATTATGTGGTCTAGTTTTTTTTCTTCTAGTTTATAGCCTTTAGAAAGACAAAAAAATAAAATAAAATAAAAAATACAAAAAACCATTCAACTCGCCCATTTTTGTAAATTTACCTTCCATTTCCGAAAAATGGAGATTAATCCTACGAAATTCAAAATAATACGCAATAGTGGTGGCACAATAGTTGTTTAGAATAAAGATGGTAGGTTGGAATAGTACGAGATATTAATAAAATATCACTATACCATAGTATTAACATCAAAATTGTTGGTTTTTCTGATGGTATTTTTTCTTCTTATTCACATCAAAGAAACCAAGCTAAGCTTCGAATACTATTTATAATCATGGATTTTTATTAGAGAATTCATCCACTTTTGATGAATCAAAGCTTTATTTTTGGCAAAGTCAACTAGTATTAAGTTTCTTTCTTAAATCTAGAAATATAATTCTCTTTTTGTTGAGTGCCTAAATTAATTTCTTGGGCTCCTCTATGGGCTAAGCTGTAATTGGGCTAAGGCCTGTTTCTTCTATTCCTAATTTAATTTCTTATTTCATTTTATCAAATTAAATCTTTAATTTTCCTAATGTTTCTCTTTCCAGCCTACCGAATCTTCTTCGTTTCCCCTAATTTCCCAGAAAAAATGAAAATTTCTTCAATCTTCTTCTTCTGAAACCTTACTCTAATTCGATCCAGATTTCAAACTCCAGATCATGTGAAAAAGGTTAGTTCATTTCACTATCGTTGATCTATATAATCTTCATCGTTCTGATTTGTTTTCACGATGATGATGATTCATGTTCTGTTTCGATCTTTCGAATTTTCCTTGTAGAATTCTATTAAAACCGTTGGATTTGATCAATTTCGGTTTTGATTTGTAACTGTTCGATGTTCCGGTTAATGAAATTGATTTGTTGTTGTTGTTGTTGTCTCAATTTTGATTTCAATAGATGTTTAGTGAAGAAGTATTGAAGAATGTGTTTCCATTGCTAGAAGGCGAAGATCTCGCGGCTTGTATGGGTGTATGTAGACAGTGGAGAGATATCGCTATTGACGATTTTTATTGGAAATGTCAATGTGCAAAGAAATGGCCATCGGTTTGCAAAAGGCATAAACCTCCTACTGAAACATATTACAAGATGTATCAAATGTTTAGTAAGCGGCGGTTAAACCGCGCGCTTCCTCCTCCTAGATTGTCGTTTGAAAACTTGGAGTTCTTTATCGATATTTGGTCAGAGGAGAAACTGGTTTTCTCGGGGTTAATACTCGGTGTTGCGTTGGAAATGGGGATCAAAACGTTACCGTTAGGGATTAGTAATGTACTTAGAACTCACCTTGGTAGACCTGATTATAAGATGGTTGTTCCTGCTGAGCCTAGGTTTACTATTCCGTTAAATCAGTCGGTTAGTGTCTCTGTTCTTGTGGCACGGAATGATTCGAATAAGGTAGCTAGGATAATCAACCGGGCTGTGTTTGATTATATTGACCGTTCGTCGTACAGAGCGCTTGCCTTTGAGTATCTTGACTTGTCTCCTTGTTATCCTTTTATTACCGGTATCCGAGCTTGGATCTCTTTGCTTTTTATGGATGTTGAGGATATGAATGATGGGCCACTCGACGTTTTCGGGATTCAGTTGGATTTCAATGATGTTGCTGACACTAAAGAAGAGGTTTTGTGGCTTCTAGATATGCTTGATTGGAAGTGAAAACAAGCTTTAAGACTCTAATCAGGTTTTATAGCTCTCTCTCTCTCAGGTTTGGAACTCTGTATACATAATACATCATTTGCTCCAGTACTAATCTTTCAACAACATATGTTAATTTTCTTTAATACGAGTTTGATATCTTTCTCTCTTATATTATTTAGCTTTTGTTTGATCATTTGTTGTAATTCAAATTTTGTGTTATAACCGAACATTGTGAAAATTTTCAACCAAACTAGATAAAATGCCAATGTCAAAAGACAAAACTGAATAAACATTTTTGCTAGGTTCTCTTGTGGGTTTAGTTAGCGGTAGGCAATCCGGTTTAGGGTTTGGATTCGGTTCGATTTTTTCTTTTCTTTTTACATTTTTAGTTAGGTTTGGTAAAAAGTGATATGTACCATGTAAAACCATTTGTAGTTCGGTTTGGTTTCAGATCGGTTTGATGCAATTTCGGTTTGGTACGGTTCAACTTAGAAAAGAATTAAACAGTGTTTTATTTATTATTTAATATGGTCATATCTATTTTTCAAAACAAATATAATTTAATACATTTTGGTATATTTGGTTAACATAATAGAACTAACAAAGTTATGAACAATTTCGGTTCAATTTGGTTTAATTGTTTTGGCATGGTTCAGTTCATTTAGGTTTCATTGTCCACCTCTAGTTCTGGTTAAATCTTTAGTTTGAAACCAAATGCAGGAACTAAAATAAGTGTCATAAACAATATTTCATTTATTTTTAATTATTGCAACCAATACACCTCTCTTTAGTTATAACTTGTAAGCCAAAACTAAAAAATTCATATCATTTTTCTTAAAAGTTAGTCTTTCCATCAAAAGTCTGCCCAAATCCCCAACTTTGTGGCATCACATCAGTAAAATCCTTTGTAACCTCATCACTCGTTGTAACCCTCAATGATACACTCTGACCGGTTAGATTAACATTGGAGGTCCAGTTTTGTCCCCAGTTTCTGCTCATTGCTATCCACTCGGTTTTGCTTCCCTTAACATACACGGCTTTAATATCTCCGGCTCCTCCAACATTGTATGGTAAGATCGTTAGGAAACTAGGGTTTCCTTTAACTTCAAACTTGACACCACCGGTTTTTGCACAAGGAACACGTCTGTATCTAACTGGGACAATCCCGGCTTTGACTTGGGCGATCTTGATGAACATTGGTAAAGAGAGGTCAAAGTGTTTATTTGGTAGGTTGCACCAAGTGGAATCTGGTGGACATAAATTTGTTGCTGTGATCTTGATGGATCCGGACAAACACCCTTGTGGATTAGGAGCACACATGATCTCGTAACAAGCCCCGCATGTGGCCCCGTTGTTGAATAGCGCCGTGCTCAATGCCGCTGTGGCTACACCATATCCATGTTTGTTTGGATCCCCGTATCCACAAGCTCCCTCTATTGAATGTATAATAATAAAAAGTTAGTATGTAAAATTTTGATTGTTCGTTTATATTTAAAACATTCCCAAGCCTATATATTTTGAAACAAAACATCAATGTAATAATTTGATTCGAGAAAATATTAGTATTTTTAACTTACGTTCAGTGCCTACACCATGGATATCACCATAATATGTGGCTCGTGCATCATACCAAGCAGTATCGAGTCCGTTGGTTGTTCCAGGTGAAGCGGCTACATCATCAATCATCGGTGGTTCGGCTACATCGGCTCCATGACCATAACTTATGAACATGAACCATGTCGCCATTATTATCATAAAGCATTCTACATATGTCATTTTTTCTAACAATTTCATGATTATTATCCCTCTTTAATGATATTTGTTTTTACTTGAACTTTAATTGATGGGAATATATGAACAATACGGGTGGGTATATATAAGTAGAAATAGATTTGACTATTGTAATATCTTTTAAAATCTTTCCAAATGTATTGAAATTTGTGTAGTCAATCTATATCCTGAGAAATGATAACATTGCCATCTTTGTATTTTGAATAAAATGGTAAGATGTTTATAGGTTGTTAAAAGTCATGAAATGTTGAATGAGAGTCCCATTTCCTTTTTGACTGGTAATTTCATGAGGGTCTTTTTTCATGAATTTTATAATTAATTGACATCCAATTAAGAATATCAACCATATTCTTTGCGAAGAAAGGAACAAAAGCAAAAGATCTGTCATAAGTCATAACTAGTGTATATATTGGTCTTAGATTTCACAAAAGAAAGCCCATTTCAAATTTCAATCCTAAACCCGTAATCTTATAAAGTCCTCGAATGTCTAGCTTGTGAATGATCAATGGCCAAATGGTTAATGGTCGACATTAATCTGCTCAACTCTTCAGTTATTTGTTTCAGGGAATGCATTTTCTCATATGAAACTCTTAATTAGAAAACTTTCGAAGTTCAATGATAATTTATATCATCATTTGGTTCAGTGGTAAATGAGAAAAAATGTCTCTTACCACCTCGGTTCGAGTAGCATTGGTCACTGGGATTCGAATTCTAACATGATTTCTCTAGGCCCATGGATTAGTCTTTAGACCTAGAAAACCTTTAGGATCACCTCAGTTATCAACCCAAAAAAATGTGATCATTTATATACATGAACCTACGTTGAGTACCTATACGGCTACACCATGGATGTCACCGTAAAGAGTGTGTCATACTATGTAGTGTCGAATATTCAGTTTGGCTCTGGTTTGGTTCTTTCGGGTTTCCAGTTGGAGGTATAGGATCCTTATATGAATCGAACAAAATTTGGATCGGTTCGGTTCCGATTCAGATATCTTTCGATTTGGATCAGTTCAGATAATAGAGTGAAGAACCGCCTTGGAACAAAAATATTTTTGGATAGTTTTTGGTTCGGTTACAAATTATTCGTATTACCCAAAAGTTATCCGAACTAACCGAACAATTAAACTAACTTGAAACTAACTAAATCAAACTATCCGAAAATTACTCAAATTACTTTCCGAAACTAACCAAAAATATCCAAACTATCCAAAAACACCAAACTAACCGATACTAATGTACACTAGGCTTACATGCCAAGAGGTCTATGGTTCGAGCACGGGCTTAGATATTTCTTTAACATGGCTCGAATAATTCGGTTATTCATTCGGTTTTAGGATAATACCTGAACCAAATTTCAGTTTGGGTGTTATGCTCAGAAGTAGACTGCATCTCCAATAATGGGTGCATCGGCTAGTCGGCTACATCACTAATCAATGGTGCTTCGGCTACATCACCAAACATAGGTGCATCAGCTACAACACGTAACTCATAGGCAGGAACCATATCGCCAATGCAACATAAAAATTTGTGTATTCCAAGAGTTTCTTGTTCACCACTCTTTAATAATGTTTGATTATTTTCTTAGTGAATATTTTGATTGATGACTGATATCAATGAGAAATCGAGACTGTAAATACATATAACATAGATAGCGAAATGAAAATCATTATGCTAATTATATAAATCTTTTCAAATGTGCACATTTTAGTAAATGAATATAAATTATTAATAACATGAAATAGCATTTGAATGTTTTGTAGTCAATTTTTTATTTTTCAATAAATCAAGTATTTAGGGTGACTTATAACCAGTGTTCAAGAAAACGCTAAGCGCTAAACGGGCGGTGACCCAGTGCCTAGCGCCTAGAACATAAAATATTATAAATATATTATATATAAAAGTTATATAAAATATCTATATAAATCTAAAAATTATGAAATTATAAACAAAAACTAGATAAAACATTTATTTATATTTATATTAAACAATATATGAATATTTATAACTATATATATATAAATAAAAATCTAATTGAAATTGAAAAAATATATTAAACAAGATCTATGTAATTTTAGGCGGTCAAGGCGGTTATCTAGGCGTCGCATGAGAGCCTAGCGTCTAGTCGGGGCCTAAGCGACCGCCTAGACCGCTTTTTAGAACACTGCTTATAACTGGCCAAATATATAGATTGGAGATACAACTATTTTTTTCATCGGTAAACAATATTTCCTTTATTTTTAATCATTAAACATAATACATCACTTATATGTGTAAGACAAGCCTCACAAAACTCAAATCATTCTCCTAAAAGTTAATCTTTCCAACAAAAGTCTGTCCAAATCCCCAATTTTTTGGCATTAGATTAATAAAATCTTTTGTAATCCCATCACTCGTCGTAACCCTAAACGATAAACCTTGGCCGGTCAATACTGTATCAGTGGTCCAATTCTGCCCCCAGTTCTTTTTCATTGTTATCCACCCGGTCTTGTTTCCTTTAACTTGCACGAACTTAACATCTCCAGCTCCTCCTACATTGTATAGCAAGACCATTAAGAAATAAGGGTTTCCTTTGGTTTCAAACTTGACTCCACCAGTTTTTGCACAAAGAACACGTCTGTATCTGACTGGGACAACCCCGGCTTTGAACTTGGCGATCTTGAGAAACATCGGTAAGGAGAGATCAAAGTGCTTTTGTGGTGGGTTGCACCAAACGTCAACGGTTTTGGTGTAATTTGGTGGACAGAAATTTGTTGCTGTGATCTTGATGGATCCGGGTAAACACCATTGTGGATCACGCGCGCACATGATTTCATAACAAGCCCCACATGTGTACCCGTCGTTGAAGAGTGCTGTGCTTAACGCTGCTGTGGCTAGACCATAGCCTTGTCTAAACAGATTACCGTATCCACAAGCTCCCTCTATTGAATATACAATAAAAAAAAAAGTGAGTATGTAATAATCATAAAAATTGATTATGGCTTTGATTTTAGTTTACATTAGTGTTGGTTTTATATTTACATGTTATCATATAATGATTTTTTGGTATTCCAAATGAATTATATCTTTGTGTCTTTTGAAATTATTTTATTTGGTCTGTTTATAATGCAAACGAAAGAGAAAACTAGCTGTCAATTTGCACTACTTTGTAAATATGTTTCTGAAAAAAAAAATGTATCAAATATATGGAAATGTAATCGTAAATGCAAAAATAAACGTACTTAAAAAAATCGTATCATGGAAATATTTTGAAAATAAAACGTGAATTCAATAATTATATTCGTTGTAACCAAGAACCATATAGTTTTAACAACAACAAAAAATCGTAATGAGATTGAAAAAAAAAACAGTATTATTTTATCTTACGTTGAGTTTCTCCACCATGGATGTCACCGTAGAATGTGGCCCGTGCGTCATACCAATTAGTGTCGAGTGTCTTGCTTGGGTCATTAATCCCGGGTGCTTCAGCTACATCGGGTGCTTCGGCTGCATCATGACCGTAACTCATGGGCACGACCCACATCGCCATTATTATCATCAAAAATTCTACATATATCATTTTTTCTAAGAGTTTCATGATTATTATCACTCTTTGATGATATTTTCTTACTAAGCTTTGATTGATGATGAATTTTTATGTGAGCCATTTGGGTGGGCATATATATAAGTAGAAACTTACTATACTAGTAATTGTATTGTAAGTTTATGTAGTCAATATGCATCCTGAGAATTTAATATTGTCATTATGTAATCAGCCAGAAAAAGAAAACTTTGCCATATGTGTATTTTGAATAAAATAGGTTGAGTGTTGACTATTGACCAAGCTTTTTTGGTCTAGAACTAATTTTATTACAAGATATATATTTTATTTTTGTTTAATACTAATTTGATAAATTTTCCGCCTCTAGATTTCGTTTGATTATTTGTTGTTAAATTTGAAAGTTAGGTTTTCAATAATATCAGAAAAAATATAATTACTCAGCTTTTAGTTTTTCTGATTTAATAAAAAGTGAAACCATATTTAAAACAATATATTGTTTAATAAAGTATCATAAATAATATCATTTATTTTTAATCATTACACCCAATACATCTCTTATATGTAAGACACGACCAACAAAACTGAAATCATTCTCCTAAAAGTTAATCTTTCCATCAAAAGTCTGTCCAAATCCCCAATTTTTTGGCATCAGATTCATAAAATCTTTTGTAATCCCATCACTCGTTGTAACCCTTAACGATATACCCTGACCAGTTAAATTAACACCAGTGGTCCAATTCTGCCCCCAATTCTTTGTCATTGGTATCCACCCGGTCTTGTTTCCTTTAACTTGCACGAACTTAATATCTCCAGCTCCTCCTACATTGTATGGCAATATCATTAAGAAATAAGGGTTTCCTTTGGTTTCAAACTTGACACCACCAGTTTTTGTACAAGGAACACGTCTGTATCTAACTGGGACAACCCCGGCTTTGTACTGCGCGATCTTGAGGAACATTGGTAAGGAGAGATCAAAATGCTTTTGTGGTGGGTTGCACCAAACGCCTACGGTTTTGGTGTAATTTGGTGGACAGAAATTTGTAGCAGTGATCTTAATGGATCCGGGCAAACACCATTGTGGATTGTTCGCACACATGATCTCGTAACAAGCCCCACATGTGTACCCTTCGTTGAAGAGTGCTGTGCTCAATGCCGCTGTGGCTAGACCATAGCCTTGTCTGAATAGATCACCGTATCCACAGGCTCCCTCTATATTGAATAAAAATAAAATAAAAATGCATTATTTAAGATTATTTATTATAACATGTTATCATATACTAGTATTTTTTATGGAGAAAAACACACAATATTGGTTCTTTTAGTAAATATAAGATAAATGTAAATGAAATCGCAAACACAAAAGTAAGCACTTAAAAGAATCGCAACGTATACAATGTTTTGAGAACAAAACAAGACTTGAATAATTGGATTAATCAAGAAAAATATTAGTATTTTCACTTACGTTGAGTTTCTCCACCATGGATATCACCGTAAAATGTTGCTCGTGCGTCATACCAAGAAGTGTCGAGTCCGTTGGTTGGGCTTCCATCGTCAATCACGGGTGCTTCGGCTACATCACTAATCATCGCTCGATGACCGTAACTCATGGACACGAACCATGTCGCCATTATTATCATAAAACATTCTACATATATCATTTTTCCTAAGAGTTTCATGATTAGTATTCCCCTTGAATGATATTTTGCTTACTTAACTTTGATAGGTGATGAATATTGATGGGTGTGGTGGATCTATATATAGGTAGATAAAAATCTTTCCAAATGTGAATATATTTACTAAGTAGACATAATTTAGTAATTGTATTCAAGTTTTTGTAGTCAATCTGCATCCTGAGAAGTGATAACATTTCCCTTTGTATTTTGAATAATATGGTACAATGTTAATAGGTTCAAAAAGTCATAAAATGTGGAGTGAAGTCTCATTTCTTTTTGACTGCTTATTTAATGATGGTTTTTTCATATTTAAAAGAATATCCAATTTAAAATGTTAAACCATTTTTAATATATTGAGAAATTAAAACAAATGACGATGTACATTTTGGTGTTGGATCTCGGACAACCTGGCCCGGCCCATTTCATTAGTGACCATATTGTATTTCTCTGAAATCATCAAACCAAATTATATTTCACAAGAGTTCGTTAACCAATAATAGCAACGGATTTTTTATATTACAAATTAATTTACCTACCAATAACCTCTCTTCTTAGTTAATTGCAAGTGTTAGCTAACAAAATTATTTTTCTAAAAATTAATCTTTCCATCAAAACTCTGTCCATTACATTTCCAATCCGGCGGGGTAACGTCAATAAACTCTTTCGTAATTCCATCACTTGTCGTAACCCTAAACGATAAACATTGTCCCGTCAACACAACACCAGTGCTCCAAATCTGTCCCCAATTCTTCTTCATCGCAATCCACTCGGTCCTCGTTCCCTTAACTTGCATAGCCCTAACATCTCCAGCTCCTCCTACATTGTACGGTAAGATCATTAAGAAATGAGGGTTTCCCTTGATTTCAAACTTGACACCTCCGATTTTCGCACAAGGGACACGTCTAAATTTAACCGGGACAACCCCGGCTTTGTATTTGGCGATTTTGAGGAACATTGGTTGCGAGAGATCAAAGTGTTTTTGTGGCGGGTTGCAGCAACAGTCTTTGGGCTTGGAGAAATCTGGTGGACAGAAGTTTGTAGCTGTGATCTTGATGGAACCTGGCAAACACCATTGTGGAGCATCTACGCACTTGATCTCGAAACAAGCCCCACACCTTGAGCCGTTGTTAAATAGTGCGGTGCTTAGTGCTGCTGTCTCTAGACCATATCCTTGTTTGTGTAGATCACCATATCCACAAGCTCCCTCTATCAAATAGAAAAAGAAAGTATGTATTACTTTCAATAACAAAACTAATTATGTAAAGAAAAAAAATGAAAAAGAAACTAATTATGTGGCTTCGTTATTTTTCGTTTGCATGTGTTTACTTTCGCGTTTGCAAATTATAATTATTATGAGTTTCGTTTTGTCAGTAATTTTTCTAAACTTTTTGGTTAATTGTGTAAATGCATAAGCAAACAATATTAGTCTAGTGGTCAAAGATTCATGAGTATCATTTACTACGTCTTCATGTTGGCTTTTGTATACGTCTAAATAATCTTAACATTTTTACAGGTCTCGATATTTTTGAATTATTAGTATATATTTAGCTGCTTACGTTGAGTTTCTCCACCATTGATGTCACCGTAAAATGTGGCACGGCCATGACCCCAACCAGAATGCGGCCCAAGGCCGCCATGGGATGGATGGGCGCCATGGGAAGGGTGGGCGCCATGGGATGGGTGGGCGCCATGGGAAGGGTGGACGCCATGGGAAGGTTGCGCGCCATGGGAAGGTTGCGCGCCATGGGAAGGGTGGACGACGTGAGATGGGTGGGCGCCATGGGATGGGTGGGCACCAGTGATGGGTGGGCCGGTTCCTTCACCGGGTACGTGGGTTGCATGACCATGACCGTAAGTCATAGGTGCAATCCATATCACCATTATCATCAACAAAATTTTTGCATATAATATTCTTTTTAAGAGTTCCATGACTTTATCTCTCTTTTATCAAATCTTATTAATTTTATTGACGATTATTGTTGATGAGAGAATGTAGGTATTTATAGCTAGGTAGAGAAATTTTGGGCTTCTCGATATTTTTGGGATTCAATTGGAATTCTACGATGTTGCTTAGACCAAGGAAGATGTTTTGTGGCTTCTTAGATACGACAGGGTGTTAAATTTTTAGTTTACGATTTTTCAAGATGAAGGATAAAAATCCTGAAAAACCGAAAAATATAACAGATTGAGAAAACCTTTCAGCAAAGGCCACTAGAAATATGAGAAACGATTAGTGAGGGAAGCTTTTTCACTTGCTGCCTAAATAGACAAGTTTTGAAAACTCGAGTTATCAGAACCAAAGATCTTAGACGGCCCTCAAAGTCACTTAATCTTGGCTTTTCCTTCTCAGCCAAAACCCTAAAAGCAAGTAAAATTTGTTTTTCTTGCTTACAAATTAATAAATTAAAAGAGAAAATAGAAAAATTGTTAAATGAAGTAATTTTGAACCGCAAACCTTATACATTTTCTTTCACTTTTAACGCACTTAACTAATTCGCCTAAAAACATATCCTTTAAAAATGGGCTGAAAATTTACTTACTAGTATAAAGGACCTCATACAAATGCTTGACTTGCTTGCTCGCAAACCCGACTTGGCTTAGATCTCCTTGAAAAGACTTGGCTTAGATCTCCAATTTTTCAAGGTCGTCGGCCTTGCATATAGTTAATGGGTTTGCTAATTACATATTAACTATACTATTCCAAGAATTAAACAACCTACCATTAATACTATATATTTTTTGGGAGGACCATTAATACTATACTTGATACATGCATAAGCATCGTCGTAACAAAAATAAATAAAAGCTGAGTTTTTGGGGACAAAGCAATGTCGGCGACTAGTGAGTGAGTAATGAGTTCGTCGTGCATAGACTCTAGGGGGGGTTATTGAACGTAGGATTTTAATTGAATATGAAAGAATTTAGAATTCTATTTAAATCTAGTGTTATTCAATTGATTGGTTTTAGAATTCTATTAAATTCTACTGTTATTCAATTTGTTGGTTTTAGAATTCTGTTAAATTCTATTGTTATTCAGTATTAAGATTGTTTTAATGGCAATGTGATTTGATTAGAATTTAAAAGAAATCAAAGACAAAAACGTGAAGAAACAAATCCCACCTATTATGGTGTGATTTGGATAGAATCTGTCAAATACATTAAAATCTTTTATTTTTCTATTCATTTGAATTCTTTTAAATTCAATTATCCAATACCCCCTCCTAAGAAAAAACGTGGGCTACCTCCTACAAGGACATTATCGTCATTTTACGAATATTTCCAACAAATTCTCCGTTTTACCCTTTAACCGAAACTCTTTCTATAAACTGTAACATTTCTTCTTCTTCTTCTTCTTCCTCGTCGTTTCTTCTCCTTTCTCAAGAAAACAACTTCTTCACTACGAATCTTTGGAGGTAAATCTCGATCTCTCTTCACAATTCTTGAGCTACATTTTTGATTCTTCTCAAGAATCTGTAGCTGAATCTTATATAATCTCTCTCTGAATCGTTCTTATAGATCGGTTCTTTCTGTTTCTGAAATTTCTATTGAGTATTCTCGAAATGTATATAGATCCTGTGTTAATCTTAGTTTCTGAGTATCGATTTCTTCGAAATTAGGCTAGATTTGTGTTTAGATCCTTGTGATTTGAGTCATTTTTGTGTTTTATTGGATCAGATCGAATCATCAGTAGTTTTTTGCTTGCACACCAAGTGTTCGACGTTTTTCCTAGTATATATAGTCCAGATCTGAGCTCCTAATGTAGATCTGTATTGAGATTTGTTCCTAATGTGATCTTGATTTGAAATTTTGCAGAGAGATATCAGAAAAAATGGTGAAGATCTGTTGTATTGGAGCTGGATATGTAGGTGGACCAACAATGGCAGTGATTGCATTGAAATGTCCAGATATTGAAGTAGCAGTTGTTGATATCTCTGTTCCGAGGATTGATGCTTGGAATAGTGATAAGCTTCCGATTTACGAGCCAGGTCTTGAAGATATTGTTAAGCAATGTAGAGGGAAGAACCTTTTCTTTAGTACTGATGTGGAGAAACATGTTAGAGAAGCTGATATCGTTTTTGTCTCTGTTAATACACCGACTAAAACGACTGGTCTTGGAGCTGGGAAAGCTGCGGATCTCACTTATTGGGAGAGTGCTGCTCGTATGATCGCGGATGTATCGGTTTCTGATAAGATTGTTGTTGAGAAATCGACTGTACCGGTCAAGACAGCTGAAGCTATTGAGAAGATTTTGATGCATAACAGTAAAGGGATCAAGTTTCAGATTCTTTCGAATCCAGAGTTTCTTGCAGAAGGAACTGCTATCGCTGATCTTTTTAACCCTGACCGTGTCTTGATCGGTGGGCGAGAAACCCCTGAAGGATTCAAAGCTGTTCAGACACTTAAGGAGGTTTATGCTAATTGGGTTCCTGTAGACCAAATCATCACAACAAATCTCTGGTCTGCGGAGCTTTCTAAGTTAGCAGCAAACGCTTTCTTGGCTCAGAGGATTTCATCAGTGAATGCCATGTCTGCTCTCTGTGAATCCACTGGTGCTGATGTCACTCAAGTGTCTTACGCTGTTGGTACTGATTCAAGAATCGGTTCCAAATTCTTGAATGCTAGTGTTGGATTCGGCGGTTCCTGTTTCCAGAAGGACATTCTGAATCTCGTGTACATCTGTCAATGCAACGGTCTTCCAGAAGTTGCGGAATACTGGAAACAAGTGATCAAGATCAATGATTACCAAAAGAACCGGTTCGTGAACAGAATCGTCTCTTCTATGTTCAACACTGTCTCCAACAAGAAGGTTGCGATCCTTGGATTTGCATTCAAGAAAGACACAGGTGACACAAGGGAAACACCTGCCATTGATGTGTGTAAAGGTCTGTTAGGAGACAAAGCGCTAATCAGTATCTATGATCCTCAAGTCACAGAGAAACAGATTATGAGAGATCTCGCGATGAAAAAGTTTGACTGGGACCATCCTCTTCACTTGCAGCCAATGAGTCCAACCACAGTGAAACAAGTGAGTGTGACTTGGGACGCATATGCAGCTACAAAAGACGCACACGCGGTTTGCATTTTGACTGAGTGGGACGAGTTTAAGTCGTTAGATTACCAGAAGATCTTCGACAACATGCAGAAACCGGCTTTTATCTTCGACGGAAGAAACATTATGAATGTTAACAAGTTAAGAGAGATTGGTTTCATCGTTTACTCCATTGGTAAGCCACTCGACCCATGGCTCAAGGACATGCCTGCCTTTGTCTAATCACAAGGCAAAAACTGGTCGATTCTTGTTTCTTACTTCATTGTTTGTGCTTTTTTTGCTTTCATTTTCATATAAATTTTAGTCTCAAGATTCGATTTGTGAAGTCTTGAAGAGTTGTTTCTTACATTTTACTATTGTGTTTCTTATGTTAAGCTCTTATAATTGTGTGTTTCACATTTTGTCAAGAGCTCGTATAATTGTTGTTTCCTTAGAAAAGCAATAAAGTTTAGTTTTTAATTCAAAGTCAAATAAAATTGAACTTCTTTATCAAATTCTATGATTAGAGTCTCAATTATTGTAGATTGGTGTATAATAATAATATAATAATAATCTCTTTAGATCGGATCTGAAAATACTGGAACAACATTTCTATAACTTCTTATTGAGTTGACCAAAAAGAAAAAAACTTATTGAGTTAAACTTTTTTGTTGTTTGAGAAGTTAAAAAACTAAATAAACAGTGTTATTTTTTTTCTTACTTGTGGTAAAATGCACAATTGTGAATAAGAAGATCTAGTCTAGTGAGAGCATGGGCAGTGGGGCAAGTAGGTGGGTGTGAGTATTGGGGTGTAGGTATTAAAAAAACGAAAAAATTGTCTCTCTCTTCACACCCGGGTGTAAGTTTACACTCGGGTGTAACACTTTTTCTCTCTATCTCTCTCTTTCTTTCTCTTTCTCTTTTCTCTTTTGCTTTAAATTATAATACTAAAAAAATACTTACACCCACACAAACACGTTTGCCACTGCTGATGGTCTGACTAGTGAGAGTGTAATGGATGAACGTGGGTCAGAACATGCGAGTCCGTGCAAGTCGCAGAGTGGTTGCTTGCACGAATTTATTGTAACTCATATGTAATGTCATAATGAGATATCTTTTCGTTTTATTTTATGGCTTAGTATAATCACATCAACAAAAATTATATGTTTTTTTTTATTGTGAATCATATTTTATTATTAAAAGCTTGATGTTTCACAACATTGTAACATCAGTATATAATTCATATGATACATACATGTTAACAATATATAATTTATTCATTCCGTTTCAAAATATAAGATGTTTTAAAATTTTGTTGTTTTATTTGAGAAGTTATGATCATGTATATTCGTGATTTAAACAAAAACATCATATAAATTAGAAACAGAACATTTATTGGATGTGATACCTATGCAAAAAAATTTGAGATTTTTACCAAATGTACCACAATTTTCAAATTCCTTAGTAATTCTACCACAATGAAAATCTCCTTAGCACTTGTACCACTTGTTTGTGGTATTGTGGTAGACAATGGACGATTTTGCCCTTCTGCTGTGTCAGGTGTGAGTCAGAAAAAGGAGCTATATTTAAAAGTTGGGGACAATAATTATTTGGAGACTATGATTAGTTTTATTAAAGATAGTAAAAAGTTGGGAGACAATCATTATTTAATTAAATGGTGATAATGATTATTAGACATTAAAATATAATGCAAAATATTAATTAGTAGGTCAAGGCAAGTAATTAATTAATAAAAACGTTTAAGGAGATGATATGGGTTAAACTCGGGGACAACTGGATCGAGGACAACTGGATCTCTAGATTGTCCATCGCCAGATGATATGGTTTTACCAGCCAGAGATCTGGATTTACTCGGGGACAACATCTCTTAATTATCCATCGCCAGATGATGTGGTTTTACCAGCCAGATATCTGGATTAACT